TTATCCTCCAGCTAGGCTAGCAACCTCTGCACATGGTGAGGGCCTCCCCCCTCACCCGACATCCCAAGCACTCTGCAGATGCTGCTGGGGTCCGGAGAGGAGCTCTGACAACTCGCCCTGGAGGAAGTTCTCCCAGAGAACTCTCATCATGTAGCCTCAGTCTACAGGGCAGGTGCTCTGGTGGGGGGCAGAGAATAGCTCCTCATGACCCCTATGCGGTAACCTCTCCCCTGGATCATGTGGCTGCATGTTGGCCTCACCTGGAGAACTTACACATGCTTGTGCCCTTGCCCCTCCTTCAGTTGCACTAGAACTAGGTGGTTGGGGAAGGTGGGTGGGCTTTAAAAGCTCCCCAGGGGATTCTAGTCTATCCGACCAGGGTAGGTGGAGAGGCCGGAGGGCATGCTGGTCAGCAGAACAGGCTCTGCTCATCTCCGGACTGCTCCAGAGCCTCAGTTTCTCCATCAGGAAACTGGGGACGACAGTACCAAACTCACCATGTTACCCTGCAGACAAAGATGGTAGGTCCAAAGGTGGGTAGGCATGGACTTATGGCAGGGACGTAAAGTCAGCGGGTCATTGCCAAGACCTCTGATAATCTGTCTTCCAGTTTCCTCTTCTTCAAACTAGGTCATCCTGGTTCCTTTTAACCCTACCTCTCTGAATTGGGGTGTCTGCCCTTGTTTGTAAGGATGGCTTCCAAGGCATGCCTCCTCCTTTTTTGGAGGGTACTAAGGGATTGGGCCGGGACTAGGTGTTATAATGAGGGGATGTCCTTGGACGCCCCTGTGAACCAGGCCAGCCCAGGTCCCTTGCCTACAGCAGAAATCTCACTTCATGTCTATGCTAACCCACATGAAAGAATTGCTTTGGTGGTGGCCACTATGACCCCCAGATCTTCTTCTGTACCTTTGCAGACCCATGCCCTCCCTATTTTGGACTGGGGTGATGGGGCTTTCTTCCCCAGCCATACAGTCACTAATGCAACAAATGTTTAGTGTTGCCATTATGTGCTGGGCACTGTGCCAGCTGTGCTGAGGGCACAGGGATGTATGTAAGAGGGCTGCATGCCCTACCGCAGAGAGCTCAGAGTTTAGTGGTGGAGGCATGCCCGTCTGTGAACTGAGTACTCTCATCATGGATAATAACACTCCCACTCTCCCACTTCATGGACCAATTTTGCAATCATCTGTCCATCTAAAGTCTCTGTGACATTCTCTACAGCCCTCATTCACTATGTGACTTGAGGCAGCTTACTGAGCCTCTCTGAGCCTGGCTTTTTGTCTAAGCCAACAGTTAAAAAGAGAGGCGAGTTTAACACCCCCGCCAGCACAGCAGGCCCAGAGTCGGGCTTAGAAGACGGCGGCCGCCACGGCACCCCACGGCCCCACCTTTTCAGAGCAATTCTTCCCTGCTCATGCTCTAGTTTTCTGGGCTCTGGGCCCAAAGGCCTGTGGTGGATTTATTCACAGTTCTTATTCCAGGGACTAGAGACAAGGGGGCAGGTGAGCACAGGACACCTTCTAAACCATCCCCAAAGCTGTCCTGGGTAGAAGGGGAGAAGCCTGGGATGGGAAGTGACCTTGAAAGTCACATCAACAGGAGGGGAGGGGGGGGTCTGTACCAACATTTCCACTCAGCCCAACCCCCCAGCCAACAGTATCAGTCCCTGGGAAATAATAAAAGGAAAGTACAGGAAAAAACCAGCATCTAGACCCACAGCTAATTGAGTTGCAGGTGGTGGCTAGAGACAGACGCACTTGACTCCTCCCCCTCCTTTCCCCAAAGTGGCCCTTAGGGGACAGAGCAGACAAGCCACCTCTTGCAGGGAAATCAAGAAGAGTGGGAAAGAACTGGGGAGGTGGGTGGCAGGCATGAGGAATTAGGCAAAGAAAAATGGCCTGCAAAATGCAGAAACACCTCAGCATGCTTGCTTCCCAGACCCGGCCCATGAATCGAGGGGTGACAGGTCTCTCATCTCTGATGCCAAGAGCCAGGAGCTCCGGGCAGCCGCAGGTACTACATCTGCACCTGCCAGCACTTGGAAAGAGGCAATAAAGCATCGTAGCAGGGCCTGGAATGCTAAGTGCCTGCAGCTGGGAAGGGGCCTGCCTTGCAGCGAGAGCAGTTCACCGCAGACGTCCGCCGTGCGAGGCCCCACTCCCGGGCACTGGCCGGGGCTTCCTCTCCTGGCCTGAGCAGCCTGCTCCCAGAGGCCGAGGACATGGACAGAGGAGGGGACAGGCCAGATGCACACTCGGCCCAGCCCTGGGGGCTGCCCCGGCCGGGTGCTGGCCCAGCAGGGATCTTCTGGACAAAGCCCAAGCGGGCTGGGTAATTTACCGAGGCTGGCAGAAGCTGGGATGCTTGAGTCACTGGTATATAAAAGTGGATCATAAAGCACCCCAGCTAAGCCAGACGTCTGGAAATACACCAGGGCCACATGCAGCTTGGAAGTGTGGGCCCCATCCCCCAAGTGATAATAATGATAATAATGTTTGTACAGCACTTACAGTGGCAGTGCCAGAGCCTGTTCTCAGGGCTTTGTGTGCATATTAATTTACTTAATCCTCGAAGCAGCCCTAAGAAGCTGGTGGTAGTAGCATCCTTCTGTTCTATACCAGGAAAACGGGGCAGCACAGGCCGGAGAGCTAGGCACCAGCCAAGGCAGGATTTGAGTCCATGCGGTCTGCTTCCAGAAGCCATGTTCCAGCTCGTGTCTGTCCGACTCTGCTGGGCTCATCAGTCACCTTGGGGGGGGGGGGTAGTATGTGGTAGCCTGCAGCTCCTGACTCAGCTGGTCTGGGGTGGGGCCCCGCATCATTAATAAGCTCCCAGGTGACGCCGGGTCCAGTGACCAGACCTTGAATAGGAGGCTCGAAACTCCTAGACCACCCTCCTAAGTATGACACCTCTTGGCTGTGGAAATGGCTTTATGCCACACTGCTCTGGCCCTGGGGGCATGTACGAATCCCCAATGCAAACAGGTCTTGGCAGGGCAACAGAATCAAGGGGCTGGGGCCAGGGGAGGGGGCGTGAGGTCCTAGAATACCCACATCCCCTCCTCACCTTAGCTTCATTCAATCAGAATCTCTGCAGTGGGGCTCAGATACAGATTAAAAAAAAAAAAAAAAAAAAACAACTCCCTGTGCGATTTCAGTGTGTAGCCGTCGTGTACAGTCCCTGAGACAGACAATAGGGCTGCTCCAATCAGTGTGTCAGTTTTATCCCTACAACACTGGGGAAGGGTCTTTGGGGTTAGGTCAGGGATTTCAGACAAGGGGTGGTAAGCCACCGCCTGGGCCAGTTGAGGGGTATGGCTTGGGTCTGCTAGGGTTCTGTCTTCTTGTCCCCTGGAGGGGAGGGGCATGCTTTCAGAGACGCCCACACTTTCCCCATCCATGAGCAGACACCAGCTTACTTCAGCTATGGACACTGAGGGTCCTGATAAAGATCAACCAAACCCCTGAGCCCTCTTCTCCACCAGGCCCTGATCTTGGCCTCCACCCTGTCTTCCACCTGCCCAGCCCAGTCCTAGCAAGAATCCTGCTAAGTTATCGAGAAGCCCTACCGCTACCCTCATGATCTCCGACCACCCTTGCTCTCTGAGCAAGTTCCTCATCCCCCAGCCCCAGTGTGTGTGCCCTTCAGGCAAGAAACCCCCCTACCCTTGATGGTTTCTCTTTCTTCCATCCACTGAGCTCTCACCCTGCTCCGTGGCTATAAATCCCCACGTGTCCTTGGAGTATCTGGAATTGAGCCCCATCTTGCTTCCTTATTGCAACAGTCTTGATTAAAGCCTGCCTTACGGTTTCACAAATAGCAGAAGGATGTTCTTCCTTAAGGCTGCCCCCTTCCCCCCAGAAGGAAAAGTCACGCCCCGGAGTGAGCAGCCCCGGTGGCGGGAGGGGGCTTGGTGCCTTGGTGCCACGGCCAACCAAACACAATGCCACTCCTCAGGTTGGCATTTGAGGCCCGAGCAATGACTTCAGGGCCCAGGGAATGATCTCATGCCTTATTCCTCTCTTCCGTGTACCCCACATACAGGAAAAACCCGGTGCCTCACTGCCCCGCACACCCCTGAATGTCCTGCCATCCTGCCTCTGCTCAGGCTTTTCCTCCCACCTGGAAGTTCCTCTCCCTCTAGTCCACCTCTAGCCACCACCCTGGCCCCCAGTCTTCATTCCTCCCCCCTGCTGCCCCATCTTCCCCAACTGTACAACCTCCCCTTTAACTGTTCACGCAGTTCTCTGGGATCATGACCACATCTAAAGACTACATTGTGCAGCCTCCTTTGCAGCTCCTGCGGTCACGTGACTGAGTTCTGCCCAATGCCTGGTAAGCAGACGTCATGTGTGTTACTTCTAGGAATGTTCTTATGCCTCTCCTTCTCCCCTCGCTGTGATGGTTGGAGCTCCAACAGCCATCTTGGACTGTGACGTGATCTTGAACATGGAAGCTACACATGGCGGAGCAACAAGGTTCCTGACCACATGGAACATTGTACCAGCATTAAGCTGGCTCCTCCAGACTTGAACATGAGAGAAAAATTAACTTTCATCTTGTTTTACCACTGGTTTTTAGAATTTTCTGTAACAGCTTAAGTTATTGCTATTAGAGCCACCTTTTCAAATCCCTGGAGTCATGAGCTCTGGATTATCGGGTTCACCATACGACAGGGCCCAGAATCACCATTTGCATCTTCTGCCCAAGTTAATAGTAAGCAGGCTGAAGGCTGCAATCCTGCCTTACCCACTTCCATCTTCCCCGCCACATGAAGCATGAGGCTCCATCACACACCATACAAAGCACATCTCAGGACTGAGGTCTTTCTACTGTGCTCCAAGACAACACACTGATTTGCATCCATATTCTCAGCATGGTGCCTCCCGGAATGGTACTCCCAAGTACAGTTGCCCTTCACCCTGTATAGGCCGCTTGCTCCCACCACCCTCTCCCACTCCTGGGGTCCCCGGATCCCAGGACGAACAGGCCCTTACCAGGATGTCTGAACTTGTGGGTTCCTCCCTTGCGGCTGGGTTGGAGCAGTTGCTGAATTTGAATACCCAGTACTCCTTGGCAGTGATAAAGAAGTTCCATGGCAGAAGGCCGCCAATGCCCAAGCTGAAGAAGATGATGTAGGCACCATTGAAGCGGTCCTTGGGTCTCTGCAGGCTGGGTGGTGGGCGGTCCAGCAGCTTCTCGAGCAGTGCTTCCTGGTCAGCTCGGAGAGAGCTGCTTGCAGGTCTGTAGGTGGAATTTGAACTGTGACGGTAGTCATCCTCTGAGGCCATGGCCACTCCTGGAGCAGAGAGGAACACAGGCAGGGCAGGTGGTCAGAAGCTTAGGCTGGGCACAGCTAGGGACTCACCCATCCTACAAAGCTGACTGTGCCCTCATCCTGGGTCATTAAAGCATGGTTAGAGAGCTTCAGGTTTAAGGATTAGGGAGAAAGACAAGATACCAACTGTAAGTGACCAAAGGATCACCCCTGTCCCTGTGGAGGGCAACACAGGTTGCAAACGAGTTGTGGGCTGGCCAGGTGTAAGGCAATGTGGCACAGTGGGACCCACGGCAATGGATCCAAAAAGGTAAACCTGATCTCACGGCATTCAAATTTCTGTGTAGTCATAAAAAAAGGAATTAGGATCCTTGGTTGGCAAAGAATGTTCTCCAAACTCTTTTCAACTTTACATGAGAAAAAGTAAGAAGCAGGCAAGTGCACAGAACATGTTACTATTTGCACAAAAAAGCAGGACAGGGCTGGGTTGGGTGGGGAAAATACCCTCTGAAAGGACACACAAGATATTTCAAAGAGTGGTTGCCCCTGGGGCAAGAGGCTGGGTTCCATGGGGAGGGAGGGGTCTTCACTGCCTACTCTTTGTGCCTTTTGAATTCTGAACTATGTGAAGGTATTATGTGTTCAGAAATAAAATCATAAATAAAAATAAAGGCATTCAAATTAAACAACAAAAACACCTAACACCACGGTGTCTAGAGCCGCCTTCAGAAGCCAGTTTGAGAGATCTAATAGTCCATTCCCTCATTTAATTTCTGGGAAACAAAGGTCCAAAGAGCAGAAGGCCACAAGCCTGGGTCTGCAGCTCCTGTCGGGGTCCCCACCTCAGTCCTTCACATCCCACCAGGAGACAGCCACTCCCAATCTGTGACAGCACCTAAAACTATCTGAAATTTCTGGGTTGTTAGGAACTACTGCCTACATGACCTTAGGCAAGTCACCATGCTCCTGAGCCTTGATTTCCCCATCTGTAAACCTAGGGAGGCCTTTTTACAATGATTATGTAACTGCAACTGGCTGGCAGTGCCTGGCCCGTGGTAGCAGCGACTGCACAAACGTCAGCATCTTCCCCGCCATCCTGGGCTCGTCACCTGGCTGGCTGGCTGCTGAATTTGGCTGCAAAGTAGCATGCCTGCTTCCATGCTCTATATATCACCTAGGATATGGCAGCGGCTTGATAAATGGGCAGGACTTCCGCAGAGCTGAGGATGGGACACTGGAGTCTCTCCTGCTTCCCCCCCCCGCCCCCCTCCCCCAATACATCAAGAAATCAACGTGGCTCAGCTCCCATAGGAGGCTGAGCCTTAACTCACAGCATCAAGCCAGGCAGAGCTGGACCCCTTTTCCCTGGGAAGATGGGAACACCCTGTCACACAGGCACAGAGCCCTCTCTGTTATCTCAGGAGAGCCTGGCGACATTCCTTGGAATTAAGCAGGACAAGAATTAGTGCCTCCTTTTTTCAGAGGCAAAGAATGAAGCCTTGAAGGCACCTGATTTGCCCCACATTCAAACAGTAAGAATTCCCAATAGCTAAAATGAAATCCAGTGCTCACGCAACGCCAAGGTCTGCGCCTCACACTTGAGCCTGACAACCGCATCACGTGATAGGGAGTACTCTAAGACTCATTTCACAGGTGAAGAGTGAGGCTCAGAAAGGTTCAGTCATTTGGCCAAGGTCACACAGCTACCGAATGGTAAGGATGAGGTGACACAGTCAAGCAGTCTAAGGCCCACACAGGAGAGGAGGCTGGCTGGCAATGTGAACCCATGTCCACTGGCTCCAAGTACAGACCTCCTTCTAGAAGGCATCACAGACAATGAGCTAGGAGCAGAGGGGAAGAGGATGCAGAGCAACCCTCACCAATGTTTGCTGAATGAACGGACTCTGTCTGGGTGGTCAGGATAGTCTCTCCTATGGGGGCAGCATGTACCCTGGAGTGGGCAGGCAAGAGGCTGCCAGATGCCCAAGCATCCAAGCCGGATGCATCTTCCCTGGCTGAGCAAGAGCCCTTTCCTAGCCCTGTTCCAGGGGAAGCCCAGCACTAACAAACTAACCAGTGTGGGCATACAGGCAACATGCCTGTGCAGGTGCGCACGCGCACACACACACACACACATTTCTCAATTAGTGTTTAAAAATGTAAAAATTACGACCCATGTAGGACAAGAGACAAAGGACCAGTGGTTCTTTCCAGATGCTCCAGCTACTGGGGTGGGTGCAGGGGCCCGCGGCGCGGTCACTCTGGCCCACTCTCATCTCCAAGTATCTATTTGTCCAGGACCATTCAGCCTTGACTGAGCTTCTGAAGAAGGAGCCAGAAATTTTCTCTGACCTGGGTCACAGGCCAGGGCATTGGAGTGAGCAAAGTCTTATTACTCTTTATAAAAGCTGGCTGCTGGCTTTTGGATTAAAAAGAAAGAAAGCAAGCAAGCTAAGGAAGAGGCCTGGTGTCGGCACCGGCCGGCTGTGGCCCACTGTATACTCCTCCGTCACCTGCAGGACTTGGCCAGGCTCGGCTCTGCTCCCTTCCTGGGTGACTGGGGGGAAGGGGCAGCGCCTGCGGAAAGAAGCAGAAGTGTGGGGTACCAGGGCTGCTGCAGACCCCCATCTGGAGCTGGGGGCTGGTTCCGGGAGGTTTCTGACTCTGGCTAAGTCCATCTCCGCACTGTGCCTCCATTTCCTCATCTGTGAAATGGGGGTAGGGGAGCTGGTGATGCTAACCTGGGGGAAAGCGCTGCTGGGGACACAGGGTACCACCCAGACAGAATGGGCTCTGGGGTTGTGGGCACCCCCAGCCTCAGACTGCCGCAGTCCGAACTAAGAGTCACCAGCTTCTGGGTACTTTGGGCTGACTCACGGTACCCAGGCCCCCCACGACCCCGCGGTCAGGTCCCGCGCCAGGAAATCCATGAGGAGGGGCAGGAGCAGGGGAGAGAATCAGGGGCAGAAAGGGCAGAGCGACCCAGAAGGGGGAAGACGGGGGGTGGGGGGGGCGGGAGGAAGAGGGGGGGACGACGGGGAGGGACTGGGCCAGAGGCACCGCCGTCCAGGGGCTGGGATGCCCGGGGAGGGCGCCCGGGTGTGGGGGGGCGCCCCGGGGGCGAGGGGGGGAGGGGGGAGCCGAGGCGCGCGAGCCCGGGGCGCGGCCGGGGCCTGAAGAGCGGCCGGGTCAGGCCCGCACTTACTGTCGCCGCCGCCGCCGCCGCCTCCCCGGCCGCCCGGCCACCGCGAGTCGGGGCTCCGAGGGGCCGCAGGCCGAGCTCCGCCTCCCGGCCCCGCCCCGGGCCGCCGCCGCCCGCGCTTCCCGGTTCGCACGCCCCTCCCGGGCCGAGCCCCGCGCGCACGCGCCCCCGCCCTCGGCCCCGCCCTCGGCCCCGGCCCCGCCCCGCGCGCACGCGCCCCCGCCCTCGGCCCCGCCCTCGGCCCGGCCCCGCCCGTGCGCACGCGCCCCGCCCTCGGCCCCGCCCCCCGCCCCGCGTGCACGCGCCCCCCTCGGCCCCGCCCCCGCCCCGCGTGCACGCGCCCCCCCTCGGCCCGCCCCGCCCCGCGTGCACGCGCCCCTGCCCCCGGGCCTGCTCCGGCCCGGCCCGCCCCGCCCCGCCCCCGGCCCCGCCCTCAGCCGCCCAGCCCTGCGCGCAGTTTCGGGGCTCCCCTGGGCCGGGCCAGCGTCGGGAGGCCTTTCCTTGTCACCGCCTTCCGGAGGCTCACTGGCTGGGGCAGAGGGGGCGCTGGGCCCGGGGCGCCCCGGGTCCTCAGGACCATCCCGCCAGGCCCCCCCACCCGCCCCCAGACAGGCCTCTGAATGGCAGGCCAAGGGGCCACCTTTATCCGACCCTCTGGCTCTCTCTGCCACGCCCCTTACACCCACTGTCTCCCTCTACCCCTCCCCGCCAGAGGGGCAGGGGTGCAGCATGCCCCTTTCTTTCTTTTCTTCTTCTTCTTTTTCTTTTCTTTCTTTTTTCTTTCTTTTTTTTTTTTTGGTATTTTTTTTATTGGAGTTTGATTTGCCAACATACAGTATAACACCCAGCGCAGCATGCCCCTTTCACAGCGGGAGGCGCTGGGCTTAGGGAACCGGGGGAGCTGGGGTGCCCAGGCCGGCCTGCGCAGCCCTCACCGTGGTGCTCTTGGGGCAGGGGCTTCCTTCCTTGGACAGACCCACCGTGTGCCCGGCCCTGCAGTGAGGACCTGTGATGTCCTGCTATGAGAAATACATACGTGGGAAGCGCCTGGCTGGCTCAGATGGTGAAGGGTGGGACTCTTGGGTTAGAGTCAGGTGTGATCTCAGGGTCCTGGGTCCCAACCGGGCACCAGCCTCTGCACTCAGCGGAGAGTCTACTTGAGATTCTTGGCCCCTCCTCTCCCTCTGCTTCCCGCCCCCCCCCTTCCCACACTCTCTCTCTCCAAAATAATTGAAAAATCTCTATGTAATTGTTAAAGAAAGAAAAGCACAGGCCCCAAATAGTCATTCAGACTGAATTCCCAGACCCCAGCGTACTACCCACACTAAATGCAGTTTCAACTTCCCCCAGAAATGTGGCCTTACCTGGTCAGTCAGGAAATAATTCTTTCCAGCAGCACCAATGAAATGAATTTGTCACTTGGGGTCCTCTCCATCCCATCCCACCCCTGATAAAAGATAAGACAATCCATATGATAAGATATCTTGCTTTTCCCCTAACAAACAACCTCCTCTGAACAATCCTCTCCCCATCCTTTTTTTTTTTTTTTTTTTTTGCTAAAAACTTTCTTGCCTCCATCCTCCAACTACAACTTTCCATTTTGTACAGTGCCTTGGAGTGTGCCTCTCTAATGGCTAGATGGGGTGCTGTCTGGTCCGTGAATCATTTAATAAAGTCAATTAGATCCTCAAATTCACTTGGTTGAATTTTGTTATTTAATACTGCTCTGTGTCCAATTCCTGACATGAGAGCTTTTAAAACTCTTGGGATTTTCTGGGTAGTAGGGGTGACAAAACAAGCCCCTCTCCACCACTCCAGGGTTTATGTAATTCAGGAGACTCTTGCTAGGCCCCTGCATAGCTTCTGGATGGGGGTGGATTGTGCCAGAGGAAGCAGCCACAGGATTACAGGTTGGGAGTTTCAGCACCATACCACCCCGCTGGGGACAAGAGGGCCTGGAGACTGACTTAATCACAACGACCACCGAGTTAATTAATCATGCCTATGTGCTTCTGTAGAAACCCGTAAATGATAGGGTTCAGAGAGCTTCGGAGTTGTTGAACACATCCACTAGCTGTGAGGGTGGTGCACCTCAACTCCGCGGGGAATGAAGCCCCTTTGCTTGGGACCTTGGACCCTGTTCATCTGTATCTTTTATAATAAACTGATACCAAGTTAAGTGTTTCCCTGAGTTCTGTAAGCCATTCTAGCAAATTATTGAAACTGGAGATGGGTATTGTTCCTACAGGTTCCTACAACCCCCCACCTCATAGTCAAGTTGGACAAACAGGATACCCTAGACACCCCATACTTGTGACTGGTGTCTGAAGTGGGGCCATTCTTTTTTTTTTTTTAAGATTTTATTTATTTCTTCATGAGAGACACAGAGAGAGGCAGAGACACAGGCAGAGGGTGAAGCAGGCTGCCTCCGGGGAGCCCGATGTGGGACTAGATCCCAGGACCCCGGGATCATGCCCTGAGCCAAAGGCAGATGCTCAACCACTGAGCCACCTAGGTGCCCCTGAGTGGGGACAGTCTTCTGGGATGCCAGCTGCAGGTAGTAAGTGTCAGAAGTGACCTGACCTGTAGGAGCCTGGTTGTTGTTGGAGGTGGGGGGGGGGGGTGTGGCAGCGGGAAGCTCATACATTTGGTGTCAGAAACGTTGAGAGTGAAAATTGTGCAGAGGCCCAAAGGTAGGAAGGGCTGGGGTCTTGTTTTGGAGGAGATTATACCCTCCTGGGGGAGGCAGAAAATACGGAGGACATTGGAAACCTTTGCAGAGGTGTGCACAGTGTGGTGGGGGCATTGGTGGGCAGGTGATGGAGGTCAGCAAACTGGGCACCTGGCCACCCTCACTGTGGCCTCCCATCCTTGTTAGCCCTATTCACAAGGCGCAAGTCCAAGGCTGGTAAAAGTAAATAGCTGGCCCAAGGTCACAGGATGGTGGAGCCTGTATCTGCCCCCCAATGTCTGACTTGAAAGGTGGCACCTGCTTTCTGCTCCACCACATGCCCCTCCTAAGGGCCTGGAGGTGGGTAGGGTAAGAACTGGGCTGGAGGGGAAAGTGTGGGGGGTGTCCCGATCTGGTGGAGGCCAGCTGCGTGGGTGGTAAAAGAACTCATCTGAGGCAGAACAAAGGAGAAGTTTATTGACTATACTGCAAAGGAGCAGTGGGCAGGAGAGCTAAGGAGAGACTGTCTGCTAGAAGGCGGGAAGCTGGGGGGCTGCATAAGGGGGACAGTGAGGAGGTTTGGCAAACGTATGGAATTTTGCTTTTTTTGGTAACTGTGCCCTGTTTTAAGCAGCCCATTGGTCAACTAGGGCCTGTGGCTATTTCCAGGTGGGTCACCTGTTTGCAGGGGTCACTGGGGGCCCTTCTACCTCACGCATGTTACCATTGCTCAAGCCTGTGAGTGGCCTCTACAAAGGGTTTCTTAGGAGAGGTGATGTTGGAGCAGAATCTTCGGTATGCTTGTGACTCGTGGAGGACAGCAGAGAGGACCTTCCAGAAGGAGCAGAAGGCTGAAGCAAAGGCAGAGGGAAGAGTGCTGACCTGTCGGTGGAGGGAGGGATGCAAGGCTCTGAGAAAGGGCAGGGACAGGAGTGGCCCTGAGAGCTGGACGGGAGTGTGGACATCGCCCTGCAGGCAACAGCATTCCATTCCATGGAACAGCATTCCTTAAGGGTTTGCAGGAGAGGGGAACAGGGCCCACCAGGGTAGAGGGGTGACTGTGATGATTGCTGATCGTGGGCAGAGCAATGGATGGGGCCCCTTGGCTTCAATATCTGACTGATTCGTCCAGCCTAAGAAAACAGGTCCACCTTTTTTTTTTTTTTTAAGATTTTTCTTTATTTATTCATGAGAGACACAGAGAGAGAGGCAGAGACACAGGCAGAGGGAGAAGCAGGCTCCCCACAGGGAGCCCGATGCAGGACTCGATCCCAGGACCCCAGGATCACGCCACTGAGCCACCCAGGCATCCCAACAGATCCACCTTTGCAAGGTTTCAATTTGGCGTCTTCCCCCTTCTGGGCCTTGAACCATCCTGGCTCCAGCCCTGCCTCCCTAAGCCAACCGAGTCCGCGTGCTTTGTAGCACCCAGCCCAGGACACGTGGGCCTTACCCGAAAAGAGGGGAAGGCGTGGTCAGGAGGGAGCTGTGGGGGGCTTTGGGACACTCTCTTGGAGGATTTGGAGGGCCTGTGTGGTTGTTGGGGGGAAGGGAGACTTGCCTTGAATCTGCGCTTGCTCAGCAGGCTGGATGTTCCATGTACAGATCGGGACAAACAGCCAGATTTCCCCGAGATGCTCCTATCCTACACACTAAGTACAACTGACAAAACAGCCACTGTCCACAGTGAAATCACAAAAAACCCCAAAGGGCTGAAGACCTCCCCAGATGCTGTCCCTGATGAGGGGGAGGGGGCGGTGGGAGTCCCTCGTGCTGTGCTTTGCCTCCCAGGGCTGGGTGGATGTTTTTAGGAGATCCAGAACTCAACTTGGAGCAATTCTAGCACAGAGTAGTTGGCCAGTGAGCTGTCCTGATGCCTGGCAAAGAAGGGGGGTCTTCACGGAGCTCTGCTCTGGCTGCCCCCCACCTCTCTCCTGCAGAGACCCCCTACTGGAGTCCCATGTACAACACCATGAGATAGGGACACTAGTTGGCCTCATTTTGCATCTGAGGACCCAGGGATACAGAGAGTGTCTTGTTCAGAGTCACACAGCTGCTAAGTGGCAGAGCCAAGACTCAACTCGACACCTCACTGCCTCCAGAGCCCTGTCAGGGACATCATCAAAGGGGGTGGTCACACCAGCTCCCGGTCTTACGCTAAAGCCTGCTGACCTGTAGGCGGATAAGCAACTGGAAGAACCTGCATATTCACACAGCAGGGTGGGTGCTGAGACCTCCAGGCACGGGGTTGGCAGGCCATCTTGCGACCGTGCCCTGCCACTGCAGTGCGTACAGGAGGCCGTGCTTCCTGCCCCCTGGGCCTTCCTGGGCCCCCAAGCAGGGTGCATGGATCCTGGGCGACAGGGGCTAAACCATAACTGCTGAGCTTAATTCTCTGCTCTCATATCACCAGTTCAAACCTTCCCTCTGACTCTAACTA